CCCCACATTGGGGATTGAGCCCGAAACCTGGGCATGTGCCCTGACCAGGAATCGAACCATGACCTCCTGGTTCACAGATCAATGCTCAACCACTGAGCCATGCTGGCCGGGCAATGCATATTATTTTAAAAAACACAAAGATCCAACAGACAAACAGGCAGAGGACATAAATGAACAATTTCTAAAAGGTAAATGAACAATGAGTGGTGTAGCCTTCTTCATTTAAAATGTACCAGGAAGACCCCCACACCCCACATCCCGTTCAGTACCTTCGGTTGCTAGACTTAGGATAGAACAGGGTACTGATCCCCAGGGGTAACTGAGGCAAAGGATGTGCATTACATCAGTCCCTCAGAGGCCCCACCCCTGGCAGCATCCTTCACTAAAGCAAATGCTTTTGCAAACTCAACAGCAATTCTGGTGGGACAGGGTGAGAGGACTCCACTCAGGTAGGTGTGCCCCAGACGGGGCAGCCGCTCAGTGGCCCCAGTGGTGCCCAGGAGAGCGGAAGGAGCCTGGTTCTGGAGCAGATGCCAGCTCACCTGAGCCTGGTTGGCCCAGTGTGCCCACAGGCAGATACGAACACGAAGGATCTAGGAAGAAACATCAGCAAGCTATCACGAACCAGGAGGCTAGCAGGGCTGCCCAGCACCCTCTAAGTGGCTGACATTGCCAGTTGTCAGCTGGCAGCCTCGGATCCAACTGGTAATTATCTCGGATTATGTAACTGTCCTTATTAAGGAGTGCGGCGCGATGCAGGGCAGCGCTGGCCTCGGACAGGTGGGCTGGAATTCTGGCTCTGAGACCCGCCAGCCTGTGCCTCACCTCTCTGAGCCTTGCTTTCCTCCTCTTCCCTGAAGACCTGGTGCTCCTCCTGAGGAAGGACCTGGTGCCCAGCGGCGAGGAGGGAGGCCGCGCTCCATGCCGGCTCACAGTAATCACCCCGAAGTCCGTGCAAGTTCCTGGGGAAGGTGGGCCGGGGATGCTTCTTGACCAGCACAAATTAGAAACAACAGAGGCTTCACATACCCTCAACTCTGTAAGTCACACGAACACCTGAACTTCCAGTGCCACCTTCCTCACTGCCATTGGCAACAAGACCACCCGCACGGGTGCTGATGGTGCGACCACAGTCATCACAGCCCTCTGCCCCACCCACCACTTCTCAACAGAGCCCTCTCCAGTCCTCACACCCCAAATCTGTGACAGCCCTCCCGATCCTTCAGCATGGCCCCGCCTACCCAAATGCACATCTGGGAACAGGAGGGGCTGACCGATCCCATGATGGGACAGTTGAGAGGGGACTCCTGAGGCGGAGGAACCCCAACGAGTTGGTATTCTGTTCAGATTCTGAGACTTCAGAGAAGTAGGGGTTATCGGGCTAGAAGGGCTCTTGAAAGACATCCAGTCCATCCCTCATCTGCACACCTGATACCGCTCTGATCACTCACCTCTCACCTAGATGACTGCACTCGTCTCCTAACAGGCCCCCTTGCTCCACCTGACCCATGCAGCCTACGTCCAACACAGCAGCTTGTGCTCTGCTCCCATTTCACTGACTAAAGTGCAATGTTCTTATAACAGCCCCTAAGCCCTGGGTAATTTGGTCCCTCAGTAACCTTCCAAGTTTCCTCCCCTCTCTCAGCATACTCACCCAGTGTTCCTCCCACACACTAGGCTTAGGTAGGCCTTCGCAGCCACATTCACTCTGCCTGGAACATTGTTCCCCCAGATACCCACACAGCTCACTTGCTCACCTCCTTCAAATCTTTGCTCAAATGCCTCCCCATTTAAACAGCAACGTCTCCCCTCACCCTGCCAGGACTCTCAAATTCCCGTATCCTGCTCCATTTCCCCCCAGAGTATTTCTTATAACTAACACACTCTATAATCTACTTATTATGCTACTATCTGCTCCCCACCCCAACCCCCACCCCCTGCCATCCGGACTAGAATGTAAGCTCACAGGGGCCGGCATGCAGTAAGTATTGGTTGGATGAAGAGGGAAGGAAGTGAGCTCTGCCTCCCTGTAAATTACCCCCGGGCCCCCACTCTGCACTGAAGGATGCGAAGGCTTCTTCCTTCTCCAGCTCTCAGCCTCTGCTCTTTGGTGAAGGTCCTGCATTTTTCTCCCGCTGCTTCTCACGTGACAGCTCCCTCTCCTCAAGATGTAACTCCATCTGTCAGCATCTCCCTAGAAGTGTAGAGCCCAGACTTGAGGCAGGTAAAAATGTATGGAGGGCAGCAGAAGGAAAGTACAGCAATGTGGGGAGGGAAGAAGCAAGCCAACAGATCCAGGGAAGAGAGACTGGCGGAGTTTCTTTCGTGCAGGCCATCTGACACTGGGGAGCCCACTCTATTGAGGAGCCCAGTCTTCTCCGACTTCCCTTCCATCAAGCATTCTGACTGACAGCCTGACAACCCTGAGGAACCCTCATGAGAGGTGAGCAAGGCTCCAGGACACAGGACAGAAGGCTTGGCAGGTGGGGAAGGGGCTGGACACTCCCCTCCCCACTACAGCAGGGAACAGCTGACCGGATTCCCGGCTCTCATCCCACCCTCTCAGCAGGGAGGCCAGTCCACAGCAGGGCCCAGAGCTGGGGAGAGAATGAGCCCTTAAATACTGTGGACATAGAAGGATTTTAATGAAAACAAAGCCTGCTTGAGCCAGACGTGGTGGACTCTGAGGTGAGGAAGGGCCATGGTGAAGAGAAGGGGGTTCTGGGGAAATCACGGGACCACACTCAGGATCAGCAGGTGGTTCAGGGGAGCTTCTGGGCTCCGTTCTGCTTTAAATCTGGCAGATGTGACTCAGGGATGGTCTTGTCCATAGCGTACGCTCTGCATTTCCAGGCCCTATCCCAGTGGGGACAGCATTTTCAGTCAAGCCAATGTCTGATGAGTTGGAGAGACCAACATGTCAGGATGCCCTGCGAAGATTAAATAATATTTGCCAGGGGAAGACGTTGGGGAAATAATCACCGATGGTAAGAGGCAATCAGCGGCGGGGATCTCCTCCACCGCTCAAGTGGCGAGAAATCAGACAGAGTGGGGCTTGTCAGCGAGGGTTTGTCACGGGGACAGTGGACGGGGTTGGAAAGTCACTGCCTCTGCTGGTTCTGTTAATAGGATAAAGCAGCCTTGCAAATAAGAGCCAGACCCCAGGAGGCCTGCATTTGAGGGGACTTAAAAATCAGGCCAGGTCCTGCCAATAGCTTTGCTTTCAGATGTGTTAGAACGGCAAGGCAGCCCGAGATCAGCGGTGCCACTGGGTCTCACTTTGGAAGGTTTCTGCCTTCCAAACACACTGCAAGTATTAAGTAATAATTGTTTTCACATTTTTTATTCATCAAAGACACGTCAAGGACTGCCAGCTGGGACAAGCAGGAGACACAGGGTCACTCCAGTCCCAATCAAGAGACCTATTGTGTTTTTGACAGCCCAGCCCTATTATGCCATGTAAATGTAGTTTCCCTTTTGAAAACATTTAAAGTAACACAAGGCGTTCACTTTTAAATACCTGAGGGAGCCTGGAGAATCTCTTATTTTATACAGAAGCAGACTGAGGCCCAGAGGAGGTAAGTGGCTTGCTGCAGGTCACACAGTGGCTGTCACTAGGCCGAGGCTACATCTGGGGAAGCAGGGATTGGGCAGGGAAGGAGTAAATCCCAGAGGTGCATGCAGTGGCCTGGGTTTGACTCTTGTCCTCAACCCTTCCCTGCTGTGGGACCCTGGCAAAATGACTGAAGCTCTGAGCTCATTTTCCTATCAGTAGAATGGGACAATAACGATACCTACGCATATTGTGGTGAGGAGTAAGTGAAGTGAGAGAACAGAACGCTTAGTAAACAGTAGTGACGTTTCCTTCACCCGTTTGTGTATGTGGCACTGGTGGGAAGTGGTCTGTGTAGACCTAAGATCAACAAGCTTGGAGAACAAAGTCGCATGACCCAACTTCTAGGTTCTGCCCTGACAATGCCAGTGGGAGATAAATTCTGACCTGTTGGAGCTCTGGGTACTTACCTTGCAATGCTGTCACTTCAAGGTGGTTACTAACACTGAGGGTATCCAGGCTATATCCAGATTCACCGCCTCTCAATCCCTGCAGGGTGGGCCTCGTGAATCTGCACCTTTAAAAATTATTAATGAGCCCGGCCCCTGTGGCTCAGGGGTTGAGCATCAACCTATGAACCAGGAGGTCATGGTTTGATTCCCAGTCAGGGCACATGCCCAGGTTGTGGGCTCGATCCCCAGTGTGGGTCGTGCAGGAGGCAGTGGATCAATGATTCTCTTTCATCACTGATGTTTCTATCTCTCTCTCCCTCCCCCTTCCTCTCTGACATCAATAAAAAAAATTACTGAGATATGTTACATAGCATAAAATTCACCACTTCAAAGTGTACACACTTTGTGGTTTTTAGTATATTCATAAGGTTGTGCAACCATTGCCCCTAATTCTAAAATCTTTCACCCCAAAAAGAAACCCTGTTCTCATTTGCATCAATCCCCATTCCCCTCTCCCAGTCCCTGACAATAACTAATCTGTCTCTATGGATTTGTCTATTCTGGACAATTCAAATGAATGGAATCATAATGTGTCCTTGTATATCTGGCTTCTTTCACTCAGCACAATGTTTTCCAAGTTCATCCATGGTGTAGCATAGATCAGAACTTCATTCTTTCAGAAGCCACACTTTTAACAAGCTCCCCAAGTACTTCTGATGAGTGGGCTTTGGGGAGGAAAAGAACAGCAAATTCACAGAAGGTGAAACTTCTGGTTATTATACAGATACAGGGCCTCAATCCTGCCAGGTGTTTCTGTCTCAGAAGCCCTAATGATAACACGAGGCAACGCTGGCTGCTTGCCTCCTCCTGAGACTGCAGAGGTTGGGTGAGTGTGTCCTGGTGCTCAGTAGGGAGGAGATGTGTGTCTATGGACAGTGGCCTGGCTGCTCTGGGATCTGGGCAGATTAACTGCAAAAGAGACTCACACAAGGGGATTTAGTCTCAACTCAAAGACTTTAATGTACATTATGCTCCTGGAAAAACATCTCCAAGGAAACAAGTGGAACCGGCAGGAATTCTCATTTAGAAACCTGGTGTGAGCTGCAGCCTTGGAAAACAGCACAGGGACTCTGATCATAGTACAGCTCGAGGTCAGAATGAGGGGCCTGCGTGCCTGAAGGGCATGCCCTCAGGACTCCCAGGCAACGTGAGCATCATTCCTCTTGTGGCTGAAAGCTCCACAGCAGGAATGGAAAAATCTGGGCTGACCAGTCATCTCTAGAGCCTGAATAAAGGCACAGAACTCCAACAGGGCTGAGAAGCCTGCCCAGAGCAAGAACCTTTCTCTTGTTGAACCTCCGGGTCATCAGGAACAGCCATGGCGGCTCTGCTGAGCAACAGGGCCATGCAGGAGAGGGGGGTTGCCACGTCCCTCTTCTGGGTCTGAGTTCTCAGAGTAGAACACGTGGGAGAGGCACGGCACTCACAAGGCCCCTGAAGTCAGGGGCCACAACAATCTTGGGGAGATTACCCGGTGGGACCTCTGGACAGGAGAAAGGAACTTAGATGGAAAAGCAAAAGCTGATGACTTGTCAGATACAACCCAACTGTCTTCTGTGTTACGCCCTCCCCAGTCTGGGGCTCCTGAGTTTTCTGCGATGTATTCCCATTCAACAAGAGGCAGGGTGAAATTCTGGCTCATCTCCCTCTGCCCTCTGTTTAACTTAAAAGTCACCAAATGACATCTCACACCCCTCCGCAGTCCAGGGTTTCTTTCTTTCCAACCATCCTGTGGAATACGCAATCAGTTCTCATTCAGAAGAAAGTAGGTTGCTGCAGAGGCAGGTCTCTCCCAAGAGCTTCTGTAAGAGTCCATCCGGAAGTCAGTCAGGTTAGCACCAAGGCCAGGCTGATGGGGAGCCCACGAATGTGCCTTCAGGATGGTACAGCCTCTTTGGCACTGAAGGAATGTTATGTGGTGGTGAAGGAGGGAATTCTGGCTCCATCTCTGCAGAACCTGGTGGGGCTGCTGTCCCAGCAGGTCCAGGTGAAGGGGTGAGCAGAGAGGTCAGGCTGCAGCTGTGTGGGAAGGAGTCTTCCCAGCTGAGAGCACTCCCCGTTAGCCCGTCTCCACCCCTTCGGGGAGCTCCACAACCACCGGGGCGCAGTCCTCAGGCTCCGCTGCAAAGTCCCACCGAAACTTCTTGGTTAAGTGAGCTTGGAACTTTTCAGCTTTCTGCCTCAGGGTGGCATTCACAGCAATGCTGCAGGCAGAGGAAAAGAAAACCTACAGAGAACAGAGGATAAGTCACTCCTGAGAACACGGAGGGAGCCGAGAAAGCTGTGGAAATTTCCTCATGGTGCTCAGCTCTCTGGGGCGGGAAAATCAGCTGCTGGTGGCACAGGCCCAGGATACCTGCTGTGCTCCCCCAAACCAAGAAACAAGGTCCAAACCCTGCTGAGAAGCTGAGGCAGGACCAGAATGGAAAATTACTATCTTGGGCAGAAAAGCCCCATTACTCTGGCCCTGCCCCTGGGGAGATCTACTGGGCACCTGGGCAGTAACACAGAGGAAGAGGTAGTAGCTATACCAGCTGGTATTAAAAGGACTTGGGGGGCTCACAAGCCCCTGGATCCCATAAAATGACAGGCCTTAAGCCAATGAAGTTGAATTGCTGCTCTGAACTAAATGTGCCACAGGCTGCCAGTTAGAGGTCTCTGTTCCCCTTAAAAGCTGTCTTTGATGTTCTTTTTCTAAAATTGTGATAACACAAAGCTACCATTTTAACCAATTTTTTACATTATCATTTAAAAACCTGTGTTAAGTATACATAACAAAATATTTATAAATTTTGACCACTTTTAAGTATACAGTTCAGTGGCATTAAGTATATTCGCATTGTTATGCAACCATCACCACCATCCATCTCTTGAATTTTTTTCCATCTTTCCTAAATGAAACTCTGAACCCATCCTATCTATAAAAGAGTAATATGCAAATTGACCATCACTCCAACACACAAGATGGCCACCCCCATGTGGTCAAAGATGGCCACCACAAGATGACCTGCAGGGGAGGGCAGTTGTGGGCAATCAGGCCAGCAGGGGAGGGCAGTTGGGGGTGATCAGGCCTGCAGGGGAGAGCAGTTAGGGGGGAGAACAGCCCTGCAGGGAGAGAAGTTGGGGGGAACCAGGCCTTCAGGGGAAGGCAGTTAGGGGTGACCAGGCCGGCAGGGAAGGGCAGTTGGGGGGGGACCAGCCCTGCAGGGGAGGGCAGTTGGGGGGGACCAGCCCTGCAGGAGAGGGCAGTTGGGGGGAACCAGGCCTGCAGGGGAGGGCAGTTGGGGGTGACCAGGCCGGCAGGGGAGGGCAGTTAGGGTCAACCAGGCCAGCAGGGGAACAGTTAGGCATTGATCAGGCTGGCAGGGGAGTGGTTAGGGGGTGATCAGGCTGGCAGGCAGAAACGGTTAGGGGCAATCAGGCAGGCAGGCAAGTGGTTGGGAGCCAGAAGTCCTGGATTGTGGGATCCCTTGAGGAGTCCCAGATTGGAGAGGGTGCAGGCTGGGCTGAGGGACACCCCTTCCCCCATGAACGAATTTCATGCACCTGGCCTCTAGTTAAATAATAATTCCCTATTTCCCCTTCCCCCAGCCCCTGGCAGCCACCACTCTACTTTCTGTCTCTAGGAATCTGAATATTCTAGGTACCTCACATATGTAAAATCATACAGTACTTAGCCTTTTGTGACTGGCTTATTTCACTTAGTATACTGTCCTCAAAGTTCATTCATGTTGTAGGCTGTGTCAGATTTTCCTTCTTCTTGAGGCTATCCCATTGTATGTCTACACCACATTTTGTTTTCCACTCATCTGTCAATGGCCATTGGGTTACTTCTACTTTTTGGCTATTGTAAATAACACTGCTATGAACGTGGGTGTAAAAATATTTCTTAGAGTCTCTGCTTTCAATTCTTTGGGGTACATATCCAGAAGTAGAGTTCCTGGATTGTTAGAAAATTCTGTTTAATGTTTTGAGGAACACTATACTTTCTTTCACAGTGGCTACATCATTTTACATTCCCATCAGCAATGAACAAGGCTTACAATATCTCCACATCCTTGCCAACATCTGTTATTTTCTGGTTTTCTGGATAGTAGCCATCCTAATGGGTGTGAAGTGGCACTTCATTGTGGTTTTGATTTGCATTTCCCCAATGATTAGTGATGCTGAACATTTTTTCATGTATTTATTTGGCCATTTGTATATATTCTTTGGAGAAATGTCTATTTAAGCCCTTTGCCAATTTTTAATCAGTTTTTTTGTTGTTGTTGCTGCTGCTGAGTTACCAGTAGGAATTCTTTATATATTCTGGATAGTAATTTTCTGTTTTAATGTTCTTTTTTGTTGTTGTTTTTTAGTCATTCCTCAGCTCAGGATATTTTTTCCATTGATTTTTAGAGAGAGTGGAAGGGAAGAGGGAAGGAGCAAGCGAGGGAGAGAGAGAGAAAGAAAACATCAATGTGAGAGAGACACATCAATTGGTTGCCTCCCACACGGGCCCAACAGGGCTGGGGGATCATCCTGCAACCCAGGCATGTGACCTTGACCAGGAATCGAACTCAGGACCCTCCAGTGTGCAGGCATTCTAACCACTGAGCAATGCTGGCCAGGGCTTGATATTCTTTTTATTTTTTTAAAAAATATATTTTTATTGATTTCAGAGAGGAAGGGAGAGGGAGAGAGAGATAGAAACATCAATGATGAGAGAGAATCATTGATTGGTTGCCTCCTGCATACCCCCTACTGGGAATCGAGCCCACAACCCAGGCATGTGCCCTTGACCGGAATCGAACTCGGGACCCTTCAGTCTGCAGGCTGACGCTCTATCCATTGAGCCAAACCAGCTAGCGCTTGACATTCTTTTTAATTCAGTTTCATCTAATATAAACATGGGAGGGGGCAGAACAGTAATTTTCTCTATATCTGAAACTCTATTCTGGATTGTCCTAGATCCCAACCCCTTCTAAGAATAATAGCAAACCCATTATTCCTCCTATTATTTTACTCTTTTAAAAGAAGTTTAAAAAAATATCCCAATAGATCCTCAAAATGCCAAGGGAAGACACACTTGAATGCCTATTTTTTAGAAATGGAGGCTGAGAGAAATTAAATGATTGAATCAAAGCTACCCAGAAAGGAAGTAGTAGTTTTTCCAAGACTACCTGTTAGCTCCCCACTGGACCACCCCACAGACACAGGAGCATGAGGGTGGAAGATCTTTGATCCACAGACCACCACGGAAGGACTCTGGGCTCCAGGGGCCTTGACCTGACAAAGGTAACAGGTATACTCTGTGGCTGATTCCTTGGACAACGCCCTTTCTACCTGCTTCTTTCTGTGAGCAGGAGCAGCAAGGCCATTTTCAGTGGTCTTTGTTTGGAGCCATTTTGTTGGAGTGGTAGCAGGGAGAGAAGTGATGTGGGGGGGGGGGGGTGAGGAGGAGGGGGCAGGGAGCAAAAGGGAGGTTTACAGAATTTGGGTTCATTAACTTGGGAATCCGACTAATATAGAGGAGCAGGAGCATAGCC